CTGGGTTCGATAAGACACTCGGCCTGTAATTGTTGTTACCTAATGTGATAATAATACTATAATAATAATACTATATACTAGGTATATTACTTATTATAACTTATAACTTTGTCGTTTTTTTCCGTGACGTTTTTTACCCGTGTCGGTTTTTACCGTGACGTTTTTTGCCTGACGTATTTTTCCGTGTCGTTTTTTTCCGTGTCGTTTTTTACCGATTACCCTTATTTTTTTACTAATTTAATATTTGTTATATTTTGACTAACTTCTAGTCATTATTGATTATAATATGATTTTTAAAGTTATTTTAACTAAATATAATATGTAAATGATAAATTTGTATACAAATTATGAAAGTACTTATTATCTACATATAATGTTAATTTAATTTAAGGTAAAAAAAATAAGGGGCGCTTACATTTATTTCAGGTAGTAACAAAGGGCCGGTGGATATCACACGATGAAGAAGATTGAAAAAGTTGCAACTGGTGGAATTTACATGCGCCCGTGGTAATAGACCAATCGTTACTGCTGAAAGCACCTGATGTCTATCAATATCTAATTGTTTTCCCCATTAACTATACTAAAATTGCGCACTTTATGGGACACCCTATATAAACAGTGCGGCCTCCTCTAACGGACACCTCTAAATAGTGGATAACCCCTAATAGCGGACGTTTATCGAACCTCAAAATTTCCTAAAATCTGAACCCTGAATAGCGGACACATCCGAATAATGGACACAATTTCGACGACCGAGAATGTCTGATATTTAGAGATTTCACGTAGTAATATTACTGTGAGCATGGTATTTAACTTATATATGACCTATTTTTATAAAATATTATTATCATACTCAGGCACGTTACGAATACTATGACTAGTTCGTCTTTTAAAACTGGTTTGTTCCCATGTGCCATGTCCATAGTCGTGCTAAGAGTATAGACATAACTGTAGACCTGGGATTTATATATTATATGTAATAAAAAACCCAAAATATGTAATAAAAATAAAAAATATGTAATAAAAAAAATTTAAAAATATGTAAATGTGTTTTGTTATTTTAATCAATTTGCTCTGCGATTTGGTCTTAACACTGACTTATACCTACTAAAAGACCGTTATAACTACAACTTTATGAAGGTTTAATTTATCTAAGCCTTATGACACTACAGGGACTTGCAACAACTTTGATGAGGGCAAACAACAAAAGACATTACAGTAGGTACCTATTCTTATCCTTAAGGGAAGAAAGGCATCATAATTATTCAAATTTAAAAAAATAACTTATAAGAATATATTACGAAAGTGACAATAATAGAGAGTCAGCAATAATATTTTGGAACGGATCTTAGATCATTTCCATTATCAAAAGATTACGGCCAAGGGAATATTAAAATATTTGGTTGCAAACTAGTTTCCGTTACGGCAATTTTTGAGATAAATAGATATAATAGTTGAGGACAAGCCAATAGCAGATAATACGTTACAGTACATTCCATACAGAATTGATAGTATACCGTGTTATGTATTATAAACATATTTTCCAATGTAATATAATAATTTACACAGCATTGGAATATTCGCGGGGGGGTGGGAGGATCTAAACATGACCTTTTATTTATAAATAATATTAGTGCGGGGGCACTACGGGACTTTCAGCAAGTGCGTCCCAGAATAACAGTTATTCAATGTTCCGAGTGAGTCGGAAATAAGTTATTACCAAAAGGTATAAAATACAATACTCAGATATTTTCACCGAATGTCTGTGTTAACATTTTTTATACAAAATCCAATTTTAAAACTATGTTGATTCTTTTTGAGCTACATATTTATTGGCATCATAAATTTTAGATTTTTATTAATTTTTATTTAATTACTATCGGTAAATAAATGTTCACTCTGTCAAAAACTTCAAAATTTAAAATAAGATTTTTCATAAGTTGTTATTAGTTGAAATTAAAAAAAAGCTGGGTGTAAATTCACAGTAATTTTTTATGACCGTTTAATGTTAGAATCTTGACAAAATTCGTCAAATAATAAAAATCTGCAAATTATTTTTAGTTAGATATTCATATTTTTATAAAAAATGTTTTATTTATATCTAAGATTAGAAAATTTGATACAAAGTTCCTAATAAGTGTTTGTATCTTTAAAAAAAATTTACCTGAGTTCAATTTCTTTTACATTGGAAATCTCAAATTAACGAATACTCATCAGACGATTTTCCTATTTTGTTGTACTCAATTCAACTATTATTAATTGTAAATATTTAAATTGTTCACCCAATGTTTATTTCGTCATTTACTATACATGATAAAATTTACAAAATATTTTGAATTATTTTGAGTTATTTATAGTCATTTTCAATTTTTTTGTGTTTTTCATTAAATGTCAATTGAATTTTAATAGTTTTACTAATCGGGGGAAAATTGAATACAAGGTTTCTTATAAGTAATTATAAAAACAGTTGAAAAATATTAAAGGTTGTCACATTTTTTTTTTGTAAACATTTTAAGTTCAAATTTTGGTAAAATTAGATATTTTACGACAAATAATGATTTTAGTAATTTTGTTGTAATTTAATCATTTAATCGTGAGTATTTGAAACTTATAAAGTATATATAATTATATTGTATACACACAAAGATATTTTCAAATGCAATTTTTTGGCCGAAAATTAGTTCAAACAACTGTCTTGTCTGATAATAAAATAAATTACTTTAACTGAAATAATACCATAAAATATACTTAGTAATATAGACATTAGGCATCCTAATATAAAACAAAATACGTAAACAAAAACAAGTTCAGTTATGAAGGCTGGTTTCTATTGGCCTTATAGAAACAATAGTGTATAAATAAAGGTTTTTCTAAATTATATTGTACAAGTACAGGGTCCCCGTAACATTTTTCACACCATGGCCCAACAGTGGCGTAGCCAGGTTTTTTTTCGGGGGGGGGGGGGGCTGATACATTTTTTACACAGCGGTGGTTTAGTTTTTGATCGAATACCATAGACCATTAAAATAATTTTAAAATTGTA